AGGGGGTGTTAAATGAGTGAACACGTACACACGTATGCGAAAGGGCGGCGCTGGTCGAAGGGACGTCGATCATTGTGTTTGTGGATTCGTTGGAATTCATTTCACCGCGACCTTGGACGTCGACGCGCCGTACAAACCAACCGACGAGCGGCAACTGAGCGAGCGAGCGCCGACCTTGAGTATATATACAGCACGATGGCGCATGCACTGTCAGCTGTTGAATGTTCTCGAAGCGCGACGCCACATGCGCGTCCACTGGAGAATCAGGAGAATTGTAGATGTCGAACGCGGTGTGTAGAGGAGGAAGGGTGCACAGATGGTGGAGGAGTGAAGCGCGCGCGGTGTGTAGAGGAGGAAGGGATGCACAGATGGTGGAAGAGTGGGCGACGGCGCGACGGCGCATGCGCGCGCGTCAGCTGTCAAATGTTCGAGAAGCGGTGCGGACGGCGCGTACGGCGCGGACGGCGCACTACAAGGCGCGAGTATAAGATGCTCCGCATCTAAAAAGGTTATGAACCCCGAAGGGAACACTGATGAGATGCGACGCAGCATTGCTGCGCACGGCGTTCACCCGGCTGAAACGGGCGTCGACGCGGTGGCTGGAAGGATGGTTTGAAACGAGTTTGGTATAGAGTTTACTCGAGTAAACGTTTGTTTGAAACGCAAAGACACTGCAGGTGGGTTGCGTTTTGTATAAGTTCCATCGTAGATGAACAAGCCGAAAGAGTATTTCCACTCGACGTGCAGTGGAGCGTTGCAAGCGCTGGGGAGGGTGAAGGGAGAGAGAAGTGTTGCGAGTGCGCGGAGGAGCCGGCAGCTGCAGGCGCTGCGGCGAGCGTGCTGCGGATGAGAGAGAGAGAGAGTGACGTCAGCGCGCCGCTGCGGTGTGACCTACTTGGCACCGCTGCAACACCTGCAGCGAGGAGAACACATTGCGCTACGTTCGTACGGACGTGCGTACCTAAGGCGTGTTACACACCTGTGTCAAAAAGCTGCTTCGCATCTAAAAAAAGCACCATCACTTGTTAAATTATTGGGAGGAAAAGCAGTGCAAAAAGCCCGACATACAGCAACCCATCTTTCTTCTAACTTGAACGCACAAGCGTCGACCAACGAGTCAATAAGAGCCAATTTACGGCGTCCCGTTGTCCAGTTCTCGGAACAGTTTGGAAAAGGCAGCTGCACGGAACTGTTCATCGGGTAAATGCGCATATCATCGTTCATATCACCGCCGTGCTTCGTTAAACGGGATTGACTCGGCGGTCGACGCTCGCGCGTTCAGGTTTTTAAAAACTGGGCATCTGTACAAACAGCTCTTTCAGCTGGTTGCCAGCATCATTATGTGAATGAGAACTTTATACGTCATTGTCATGTTTTAAATGTGAAGCTCCTCAGGGCGTGGGTTGTGCGTCCACAACCTATGTACAACTAGTAGTAGTAATAGTGGTAGTAGTAGTAGTAGGTAGCCACCTCCCATTTAGTCCTTGGAATGCCCGCTGGATGGTGATACTTCTATACGATGAATATATGATAAAAAAAGGCAAAGGTGGCGGTAGTTGTAGCGTTCACTAGATGGACGGACAGATGGACAGATGCACGGACGGATGAATGGACGGATGGATGGACGCACAGACAAACGTATGGACGGACGGACGCATGAATGGACAGACAGGCGGACGGATGCACGGATGAACGGACGAACGGACGGATGGACAGAAGCAAGAACAAACGGATGTTTGGAAGCTCCGACGGACTGACGGATGCTTCGCTCCACTCACCATCATTCAGTCCGTGAATATGCTGCGACTTTTTTTTACGGAAGTACACTTCGCATAGGGTATAAAGACTAATTCCACATAAACGTAAGCGTATACACTCCAAGTAAAACCGCTGCCAGACATCTTGCCGTTGCTTCTCTTACCTTTGGTGCAATTCATATATCGCCTTCTGTTTTGCGCATTGCTCTTCATGGTATCCCCATACATTGCTCAGCTAAGTTCGACGTTGCGGGGTTGATGCCGGTCGTAGCGTCCACATCTCTCTTTGAGGACACTCGCAAATAGCCGGCACAGAATCACTGCTCTCATCTTGTCGTACGAAAGGTCTGTGTGGTGACACGCGTTAAATTCAAGTAAGTCAAGGGGTTTTATCCCTTAGGCCGAATAATGACATACTAACCGACAGGTTTTCATCTTATAAGAATGTAAAAAATAGCGCTTTACACACAGGGTGAAAGAAAGAACTGACACACACGGTGCTGAACTGGCAGCTGGTTTTATTGACAAAGACATGGAAGGGCTTAAAGCGAGCGCACATGCTGATTGTGAAAAACGACGCATTCGTCATTCTGCAAGATGTGTGAGCTCCCTAGTCAGCTCTGATTAGCAAGCCTATTTCTTTTAAAAATAAGTCCGGCGAAGTTTGGCTAACTGAACTACTCACTTTTTTTTTGTGAAATACTTCAGTCACTTGATTCTCTTGTGTAGCTGTCGTTGTGAACGAAAAATATTTTCCGCGTGATTGAACAAGACTCAAGAAAGGGGTTTTAAACTTTTTGCTTGATAAAGCACGTGTCTTTTTCAATAAACCCAGTTGCTATATAGTTTAGAGCCGCATGTGTCACTTCTCTACTGCGCTGTTTCATATTTTTACCATGCAGCCTTCCCAATTTGTCCAGTCTGCTCGTCGTCTTCACCCTATGTTTCTACATCTCGCAGAGTGTTCTCAGTCTCTAACTAACCTTCACAGATGGGCTTCGACTGTCTGGTGGTGAGCAGGGTGCACCATGCGCTAGCGAATCACTGGCGAGACAGCAAGAGACTAGAGTTTGTCTGGAAGCCGCAGCCCGAGATTGGTAAGTGACTCTGATGGCAATCTATAGAAAGTGTTATCGATTTGCATCCCGTCATGATCAGTCTTAAGCAAGGAGGACCATGAGGGCACACTAGCCACCATTCGTAGTTGAGTTTATGCCATAACCAGGATTTGCGGACATGTGCCCGAAGTGCCGTCTATCGCCGGTGGTCGACCGCAACTGAAGGGCAAATAGGTGAAGAAAAATACATATCGGACACTATGAGTTACCATTAAAAAAAGACTGTAGGTTCTATATAGCAGATACCCACTGGGACATTCTGTACAAGTGCACTGTCGCAATACAAATCACTTGTCTTCCCCGAGTGTTCAATGCGTTACAATGCGGCTCCATTTGTTTCCGACTGGCGGTGTTCAACTGTCCCGGGAAGCCACTCGCTTTGTAGTATACCGCAATTTGACCGCAATTTGACCAAAACTCTTGAGTGGGTCTCTTCTGTACAGAGCCGGCAGGACTTTTTGACTCAACTAGTTTTTTCGTCTGATATAGCATTTTTTTTTTTTGCCCATTTCGCCTTAAGTTACGACAGGACGCCGTTGCTGCCGTTAATAGATGGTGCCACGTACAGACCTTTCCAAGCTTGGGAATGTTGCAATAATACTATAATCAATTTAACAAGTGGCAAACTACGAGGCCTAAGTTGGCTCACCAATGAGATAACTGAACCACGCGCAGAGATCGACCTCTGACGAATATGCGCATCCCTTTGTCAGGCCTAATTGCTCGTTTGCGTTATTCCATTAGCTAATTCTAGTTCACCATTTGTGATTACTTGTTCGCAGGCTCCAGTCACGACATGTTCACCATGATAATGTACGGAAACACCTACACTGTGCCGTCAGAGTTCTGCGTCCAGGACTACTACTGCTCCGTGTACGACAGCCAGGTGCGAGCGAAGGTTGCCAACTGCGTGTGCAGTGGGAGCCAAATAGAGCTGCAGGGGTGGATTCAACCACCCATTTGAAGAGTTAAAAAGGAAGTCTCCATTTTTTTTTTTTAGAAGAGCACTGTTTGGTTTGTTTTTTGACGTTCATTTCTTAGTAACTTAACTGCGCTATTACGAATAACGACACTGTGAAAGTTCACGGTCACAAGCTGTCTTTTGTTTTCAGTATAGTTGCCGTTATCACAATAACCTCATCAAAACATAAACAATGTTACATGGTGCTCACAGGAGTCCAAACCATCGGCTTTCTAATCTTAATAAATGGCAAGAATTAAGACAAATTGCAGCCTATATACCACACTTCAGAGACACATTTGGCTGTGCCAAGGTTTTGTCAAAAATGGGGTGGAGTGACTGAAGCGAACGTGGGTTAGAGTCACTGAAGGGAGGAGACGCATGCTTTGGGGATCACCCTTGCCACCCACCTCTCCTCTGAATCCGCCACTGTTATAGCAAGCGAGACCGTTTTCATACTGTAGTCTTTATAGCAAGTAGAGCCTCTCCTGGCCCAAATGTAGCACCAAACGAAGTGAGTGACGGTGGTGGCGACAGCTCAAGAAACTGCGCGTCATGGGTGCTACGTGTGGCCTCATGACGTGTGGCCCTTATACGTGTGGCCAATTATACGTGTGGCCTGTTACTTTTTTATTTAGCTTTCCTTTTTTTCATAATCATATATGGGAAAACAATCAGCCGGACTTGTTTCGTTAACTCAGATAAAAGATAACAGTTTGTTCACACATCTTTCAATGTTTTGCTGTCTTCACGGGGCTCTGATTAAATTCATCCATGCATTCCTCGCGCCATTCACTAATCTTGTGCATCTGTTGTTGTTTTGTTTTCTTATTCTTTTCTCTTTTTTTTTTTCTCGTCAAGGCTGGCGTCGTTCAAATGGCGGAGGATATACTGAAGCTGGTCTTCAAGCAGGTAAGAAAAAGTACCAGAGCGGAAATGAAGGTGAAAGGCTTGCTGGCAGCCTGAATTTAAGTTAGCATGTTGTTAGTAAAGACGAGGCTTCAGCACATGCAGCGCATACAGAAACAGGGCTGGCTAAAATAACCTTGTCACAAGTCGAATAGATGTGAACCTTATTGATCGCATCTGAAAAAGAAAAAAAGTTTACGCAGCTTCTGCTTTGTAACAATAAGAAATAAATCACGGTAAAGCAAGTACAATGCTATTTCAGCTACCTGCGGTGGGCACAGATGAAAGTTGAAGCAGACTTTTAAACTCGCAACATGTCAAAAGCAGTGATAAGTACTGGTGTTTTATGTGTCTACATGGCGAAGTGGTAAAAGTGTGACAGAAAAAGCTCATTGATCACGGGCACGTTCAACTCAAGTGCAAGTGCTCAAGTGCAACTTACACTTGAGCCACGACCTTCGGCCGCCCACAAACGCTTTCTATAGACACATAGTAGAATATACGACGCGCCCGTCATGTTGTCACCCTTGGGACTTCATACGGGACACCACGGCGGCGACGACAGCAAACGTGTGTCTGGAGTGTCCATCTATATAATAATTACCACAATAGAAATGCAACACAAGTATTGCAGAGACGGTGAATTATTCGTTGACTCTCGGAAACCGATCATACTTGCCGAGCGTAAGCTTGTAGGAATACCTTCCTTCACGCACGAACTAACAATGCCGATGTGAGCGTAGGTCAGATGACCACTGGCAGTAAACTCGGAAAATCTCAAAGGGGGACAGGAAGGCCACTTTTTAATAAATATGGTTTATCTTTAATCGTACAAAAATAAATTTTGCTCTCATATGAAATTTTAGAAAACGAGCACGCTAGTCAGACCATCAGCGTCAGGGAAACCAGTTTCTAATCATAAGACATATGTATGCGCTAGCATATATTCAGCTATCTCATTCTGGTTAAACACGGCATGAAAAATCTAGCGCTTGATATTAGGCGCAAAGGTACAGCTTTTCTTTACTTCAGCTACATACCCTATCACGTAGACCTGTTAGAAATATTTTTGCTTGAGTTGCCCCTCGCAACTTTATTTTAAACATTTTGATGCTCACCAGTGACATAACACAACCACGAACAAGCAATCTCATTTACCATTACTAATTGTTGGCCTAGTTGGCACTTGATTACTGACATGCTTTGGCCGCAAATAACACAAACACAAAGTAAAGTTGGTTGTCGTTGAGTGTTAGTGTTATTTGCGGCCAAAGCATGTCATTTACCATTCATTGTAAATGACTTCCAGACTTACATTTAAAAGCCCAGTATAATAAATATTTGCAGCACGTCAGATGTATGTCGCGGTATTTCACAAAGCGTGTGCTCTACAATGCTTTTCAAGTGACCGCAACGAACTTCAGCTTTTCTATTTGGTCTTGGTGTCTGCTCCTTGGAAGAGCTTCTGATTTTATAGTTCATTTTTGCGAAGAGTGCACTATCCTTAGCTGTCAAGACATTCGAACAGGACATCTGAAAGGTCAAGTGGAAACACCTGCGATGGGTGACCTATTCCAAACACCCCTCCGAACACCCCCCCCCCCCCCCCATCATTTACACCACTACCGGTGACGTTCTACACAAAAACTTGATACGCAGAAGCACTAAGGCAATTGGAGTGTGGATCGCTCAGCAGACTGTGACGCACAGTATTAACAGGAAAACATTGACATTGGTGACTGGTTGCCGGAGCGGCAATATAGTGATTACCGGCGCTGCGTTATTCCCAGACCCGCTGATATTATAGTGCCAAGCACATTCCATTTTCCAAACCAAGGTTGGCAGACGGAAAACACTCGAACAAGCAGCTTTTTTCTCGGTAGCTGCGAAGAATACGTGGTTTCTCGTAACTTCAGCGAAATAGAAAAGAATATCGTGTGCGTAGCCGCATCTACGCATAAGCAATGGACGGTTTGTTTTTTGTTTTTTCAAGATACCTGCTTTTGGATGAGCCAACAGCAAGATAGCCGGCTGCTGCCGCCAGTCTGCTGGCCACACCTGCTTTGGAAAATGGATTGTGCTTGACAATCTCGTTATCGGCGCGCTCAGAAAAAAAACGCTGCGCCTCGTATCGAAATGAGACTGTACGTGCGCTCAGATCACCCTGTTCTGTGTGCAGAGCGCGGCCTACGCAACCAACAACATCGCCATCTACATCGGCGGTGACCTGGCCTTCCAGAACGCGGATCGCTGGTTCAACCAGGTGGACGCCAGCATCAAGGCCGTCAATGAGGTGGTCAGTGGGCGAAGCACTTGTTTGCTTCAGTATGCATACGTTATAACGCCTTCACGTGAATCGGCAATCGCAGATCCGATTAAGCAGCGAACATTGATTGCACGACTAAGAAACGTTCTCTACTGTGCTGATTCCCATAGTAGTCATGCGTAGGCGTTCGCAACCAAACACATGCACTTTCATTGTTCTTTGAAAACAGCTGCTGAACAAGTTTTATTGTTGCTTATCTCTGATATTTATTTATTTATTTATTTATTTATTTATTTATTTATTTATTTATTTATTTATTTATTTATTTATTTATTTATTTATTTATTAGAATACCCTCAGGGCCCGTAGGGCATTACAGAGGGGGTGGGTACAACATATATAACACACAAGAAAAAAAGACAAAATAAAGAAACAAGTATCAGATGCGCAAATCAGGAAGGCAACATAAGTCAACTAAAAATGTATAAGAATTCAAGCACATACAAGACAAAGATAGATAATGGAAACTGCGTATAGTTACAAGCATTGCTGAGAAATTGCAGTCTTGAATAACAAAGGGTCTGTTATTGATACAACGGAAGAGGGAAGGTGGTTCCAATCGGCGGCTGTTTTCGGTAAGAAGGCTGCTGAAATGAATTTGGTGCGGCAAAACGGAATGGCAACCTTATGCTGATGATCAATGCGCGATGAGTGGTATGACGGTTGTGAAATGAGGTCTCGCTTCATTGATGGATTGAGAAAAAATATCTTATGAAAAAAATGCAGTCGCGCCAGTTTCCTCCGGACAGTTAAATTGGGTAGGTCAAGGTTAGATTTCATTTCTGATATGCTAGCAGTACGGGAATAATTAGAACAAATGAACCGAACTGAGCGGTTCTGAACAGATTCTAACGCGTTAATTAAATTTTGCTGCACGGGATCCCATATAGCGGACGCGTACTCAAGCTTTGGGCGAATTAGTGATCGGTATAATAGAATTTTGAGGGACAGCGGAGCGCGAGAAAAGTTGCGGCGTAAGTATCCTAGCGTTCGGTTAGCGTTATTACAGATGTAGGTAACATGCGTGTGCCAAGATAGATTGTTGGTAATGTAAACGCCGAGGTACTTATATGAAGAGACATGCTGGAGGGGAACGGCGTTAATTCTGTAGGTACAGGGGGGAGAAATAGATCGCCGGGTTATTGACATGCATTTAGATTTGTTAGAGTTGAGAGTCATAAGCCATTTATTGCACCAGGTTGAGACAGTGTCAAGGTCTGACTGTAGAAATTGGTTATCATATTCATTGTTTATTTCGCGGTAAATTACACAATCATCTGCAAATAACCTTATAGCGGAGTTAATGCTGTCTGGGAGATCATTAATATATATAAGAAAAAGTAAAGGGCCTAATACGGAACCTTGGGGTACGCCGGATGTTACTTTAGAAAGAGGTGAGTTATAGCCATTAGTTGTTACAAACTGAGTGCGATTAGTCAGAAAGCATTCAATCCATTTAAGAATGTTCGGGTCAATGTTTAAGGCACTAATTTTCAGGAGGAGTAATTGGTGAGGTACTTTATCGAAAGCTTTTTGAAAGTCAAGAAAAATGCAATGCACAAGTGAGCCGCGATCTAAAGCCGATGCTATGTCATTAGTAAAATAAAGAAGTTGGGTTTCACATGAGTAACTTTTTCGGAATCCGTGCTGGTAGGGAGTAAAAAAAGAATTTGATTCTAGGAATGAGACAAGGTTGGAGTAAATTATATGTTCTAACATTTTACAAGGAACACTGGTTAGGGAAATTGGTCTGTAATTGAGAGGAGACTGTGTGTTACCAGATTTGTGCAGAGGGACCACCTTCCCCACCTTCCAGTCAAGCGGCAAAGTGGAGGTCTGAATAGATTGCGAAAAGATTAAGGACAAGTAAATTGATGAATACAATGCAGTGTTTTTTAGAAACTTTGAGTTGATTTCATCTACGTCACAAGAAGAGGATAACTTAAGCTTGTTAATTAAATTTTGCACTCCAACGGCATCAACGGTAACAGGATACAGGGGTAAAAAATCACGACTAGGCATTTGCGGCAACGCAGAAGCAGAACAACTTGAAAAAGAAGTAACAAAAAAATCATTTAATGCAATGCAACACTCTTCACAGCGAACTGGCTGCCCGTTACGATAGAGTCGTAACACATAAAAGAAGAGAATAGAGCTTAAGAAGCAGTCGAGCTGGTTGATCTTAGTGGCCTATCATGCCTGTCACTGAACATGCAAGAATGTTCGGCGCCAAAGCTAACGTACAAAGCCGGCTGGTGCAGCCCCGCCATCAGTGCGTCGCTCGCACTCGGCGCGGCGGCTGTGCGGACTCCGTCGGTCGGCGCGGCTGATAAGCAATGGCGTGGGGGGGTTTTGAGGACACGTGATGCTTTGCCGCAAGTTGCAAGAGCTTCGTTTTGTAGCGTTAGCTACACTGGCCTCGCTGAGCCAATTTCACGCGGCACTGGTCTGCGCATGCGCAACGATACTCCGCGCGCGGCTCGCCGCCGGTGTGCGCGCTATTCGATGCGCTGCGCAGACGATCAGTGGTGTCGCGCACCGGAGCCGGCACCTCACTCGCACTCGGCCGCGCCACAGAACACCTACGACTCGCCGCCGCCGCCGGTGTGTGCTTTCCAGAGGAGTGCCGTCATAGCCTTGGTAGACATATGGACGCCGACGCGCGCGCCTTCCCCTGTGCAGTCGCCATCTGACACTGCGCTGGAGCCGCTTGATAGCGCCTCTGACTGGCGTTTGCCACTGTGGTATAGCCATGGAGAAGGAGAGGGCAAATGCTGCTCAACGGTGCAGTAGAGCGGAGAAGCTTAACTCATCGGATCCCGAAGTAGTTACCCGGCAAAATAAATATACATGTGCCACATAATACGTATACCGTGTATGTGTGTCATTGGAACAGCTGTAAGCATGATATCTGGAAAGCTAAGAATAATCAGCTGAGCCTTTGCTAACGCTACGTATATCCTGGCATAGCTGAGCTAAGCCACTGCCATTTTTATTTAAATAAGCACACACAGGAGCTCCTCGCAACTTCGTGGGAGGTCTTTCATGCTCTGAGGGCTTCGTCATCCACTCACATGTGCAAATATTCACCTAAAGTAGGCTTCTCCACAATAATGGTGTCTCAATGGAGAAGACAGATCCTAAAGCTTGGTCTCGTGGGCGCTGTTTTTTTTTTTTTCTGTCTATTGTAATGATTCTTGCATGTTTGCGCAACCGAGAATGTCATCGGGCGAATGCTAGGTGTCGTTATATAACCAAAGGGGCTCGTTTATAGACCTCTAATCATAACCTATTAGTTTTAATTGTCAAGTTCTTGTTCGTCACATTGCACGCCGATGACCGTATCGCTCACTGGTGATATATTTGACATAACAGTAGTCGAGAAAGATAAAAACACTTACACTATTGAGTTACAAATAATTTATATCTGCAAAATGTATGGCATCTTGTTCGTTCGTGGTGCCTTCGTGGAGACGGACGTGTTCCGGAATTACTATGTGGCCTCTTTGACATGTTACTGCGAAGTTGCATGTTTGTACTACCGGACGTGTAGGCCGATTTGTATGCAAAAAGGCTGTAGTGAGTTTTGGGAGCATTATGGGAGCATCAGGTGGCATGAAATTTTTACCTCATCTTGGGTTGGTCGGTAGATCGGACTGTGATCAAGCTGGCTGTTCTCTACGATTTGAGTCGGCTGGCCCTTTTTTACTTCAGCTAAGTAAGACAGAAGTCCTCTCCATGCTGTGATTGACTTAACATGGTCTGTATCTGCCGAATCACTTCAAAGTTCCTCTTCATTTTTCGGTCCCTCTTTTTTTTTTTATCTGTCACAAGCCGCGGTGGCAGTGCATTGGGAAACAACCTAGACCGCATTACAGTAGGTGTGACAGGCTATCACAGCTGAGCTGCTGAACATTACTTGTCAATCTGCTCGTTTAGACTAGTCGGTAAATCATAATTTCTAATTTCACACAAACGTCTAAGACAAGCCATGAAGAAAAAAAAATATCGCGATCACTTCTTTTTCTCGATTTTTTTTTATTCTTCGTCTCTTTCTTTGGAAGTGGGTGATAAAATATCTAGCCGTTAAAAATTGATCTGGGCTTATTCACGGCGTGAGCAGTTATGTTCGAAGCATAGCGAAGTCGAGAGAGAGGAACCTGTGTAGCGAGAAGAAAGCATAAGCTAAGTACAGTGAGGGCGAGGGAAAAGTGAGCCCTGTGTAACTTAGTTTAAAATTTTCTTCAGCTCCTGGGGTCATTTGGGTTTGTCATGGAAAATGCCTGCCTAATATTATTTTACCTTAAGCAGTCTCCTGTGAACAATCTAGCTTCACAATAACCTCTTGGGCTTTTTGATACATGCTTACTGGAGTACAAAAATAAGCGTACCATCAAGGAATAATAATTTGGGAGGTTGAACGTCCGAAAACCATGACATGAGTGTGAGGGACGCCGTAGCGGAGGTCTGAGGTGATTTCGAACACCTGGGGTTCTTTAACGAGCACTTAAATATAAGCACCTGTGTCTGAAGCAGTTTCGCATCCATCAAAAATGCGGCTGGGATTCGATCCCACAACATGTGGGTCAGCAGTCGAGTGTCAATAGACCACCATGGTGGGTCACCATCAAGCAAGGATTGAAAAATCGAACAGCCTTGACACCTTTTTCTGTTCTGTGTTGAATCTTTACTCGATTATGCGCGTCTTTTTGTACTCCTGTAATTGCAATAATCGTATCTTTTTTTGGCGCCGTTCTCCATTATTTGCGGAGTCATGCAAGTGACGCGCAGGCTCGCAAGAAGGGCCACCGAGTACGCGCCACGTACTCGACGCCGCTGTGCTACCTCGGGGCGCTGCACGCCTCCAATCGGTCGTGGCCCGTGTACCGCGGCGACCTGGTTCCGTACGCGGACATACCGGGCCGCACCTGGGTGGGGTTCTATTCGAGTCGACCCAACCTGAAGGAGTACGCCCGATATGCCAACGGGTTCTTGCAGGTTCGGCACCACGCATATTAGTTATAAGTAATTTCTCGATGAGCGAAACATGCGTTTACTTCCAGGCGTGCAAGCAGCTCGCTGTACTCGGTGGATTGAAGGACGTCGCCCAGACGCTTAGGCTGAGTACGTTCGTTGTTTGCGGTCATTGTGGCTCACATTATGCCGTCGAACGTCTAAAAGATTACGCTTTACTTTCAGCGCATATTGGAAAAGTCGATGCTTACTTCCTATTCTTTCTCGTCTTTAGAGGACGCCGTGGCCATTATGCAGCACCACGATGCCATCACGTGAGCTTTGATATTTCTGACGCGAGAAGCATCAACCTGAGACGGCGTCATTGAGAGAACTGCCTCGCAGGGGAACCTCCAAGGCGGCCGTGGCACACGACTACGCCAGGCTACTCTCGGAGGGCATTGCCCAGTGCGAAGTGAGTATACTTTTAGGGTCATGGCTCGTCTGAGTCACGGTCCATCCTAAACGATTATGCGCCAGAACAATTGGTTGAATCTCATTACCCGCCGCTAGTTCAGACTGTGCAAATAACGAAATAAAGGTTCTAGTTACTGCCTAGGACATTGTGTTTGGCTCGATAGCGGTTACAGAATCTTCTCTGCTAGGTAAACGGCGAACCATTTATATACACCGTGTACCGCTGGCGATCCTCAGAGCTCGGCAACTTCAGCGCGCTTTCGTCATCTGTAGCGAGATGGCATGATGGGCGCGCGCTCTCAAGATCGTCGTGTCACGCCACCCTGCGTGTCTCTGTGCGCGCGCCTCCGCATGGCGTGGTCAAAGTGCGCTAGATGTTTTTTCGCATGGTAGATCACTCGTGCGCGCGCTTAGCGCAGAGTTTGGTCGCTATGTACTTCTTGTGCTTAAAGCGCAAGTTCGCTTTTTAAGTTACGGTAGGTTAAAGAGAGCACGACGGTATCTTCCCATACTGCCACGGCCGCGTTTACAAAGGGTGCGCGCTGCTTACACACGAAGAAGTAAGAATTGTAACATTTGTTCGCGCTCATCCTGTTTACACTTGTGCGTTCGTCCCATGGGTCTTTCTTTCTGTTTTGAGCAGCGTGCTTCAAGTGTCGAGCTGTGACAGTTGTTACTCCGCACTCGTTTTGTACATGCTCATTTCGCGCGTGCTTTCTGCTGGAAGTGTGCGATGCAAGTTTCGAGCTGCTTGCCGTTCTTCGCGTGTCATTGTGGTTCGTAACTCCAGCATTCATTTCCTCGCACTTGTGGCGAAACAATGCGCGATGAATGTCCAACTACTTCAGCGAGAACACGTTTCACGTTCGTGTAATACCGATTCCTAAAAAAAAAAGGATCAACCACGTTTTTTTTAACACGAAAGTGTTTTATGCTAGAGTCCACCACGGTTCTGCTGACGTAATTCCGTCACGGAAGTGACGTTGAAAATTATGTATTGAAAATTGCCCAGTAAAAAACAGAAGGGAAGCATTTGTCGCACGGAATCAAACCAGCAACCTCTCGGTTCCCAGCGCGCGGCGCCAACCACGCCACGGAGCGTGCGTTGTCCGCGATGCTAACGGCAAGCTATTTATAAACACCATACACGATTCGGTAGCCTCAGAGCTTCGTAACTTTAGCGCGTTTTCGTAATCAGTGCCGATGTGAGATGACGTGCTCGCGTTGAGCGCCCTCTAAAGGTCGTCGCCTTCACAAAGCGCCGCCTCCGCGGAGCGTGGTCTCTCCTGCGTGCGCGCTTATCAGACTCGTAATTGGGGAGAGGACGAAAGTCACTTTTCACGCTGCCACGGTGGTGGTGGTGTTTGTGGCGGCGGCGGCGGTGGTGGTGGTGGTGGCGGTGATGATGATGATGATGATGATGATGATGATATCGACTAGTAAAATTAACAACTAGTCAATGAGATGAGCCCGTAAGGAGAAGTGCATATACCATACCGCGCAGGCGGTGATAAGCCGCTCCGTGAACCAGCTGGTGGACGCGAGCGGTGCAGCAGGTGACCTGCCGTGGCGCTTCTGCCACGCGCTGAACGTGAGCGAGTGCGTGCACTCTGCCAAGCTGGACCTGGTTGAGACGGACGGTGAGTTCTCGCTGCTGCTGTACAACCCTTCGTCGACGGCCCTGAGCACGCACGCCCGGCTGCCCGTGGACAGCGGGCTCTCGTTCACCGTCCAGGGACCCCGAGGAGAAGAGCTGGACACTCAGGCAAGAAGAGTTCGATGGCCATTTGGATACACGATAGCGTATAGCTAGTGGCACGGGATGGTTGGGGTGATGTATTTCAGTGTGGCATATGTATACAAAGGGTGTCCCAAATATCACGCAGCATGATGTTAAAAAATAACGTCCTTACGTGAAGCACACCTGGTGTACCTTGTCTCCAATGTACCGTAACAGTCACTACCAATTTTTTTTTCGTTAATGTGGTTTAGGTAGTCAGTCCTAATCATGTTTCAACTTGACAAAATCAGACCTAATCACTAAAATGTCAATGAGGCATCTGTAGACATATTCGAGTGACACCTAACTCCACTATTTTCAACAAAATACTGATTGCTTGCTCGCATTCTTTTTTTTTTTTTGCTAACAAAGAAAGTCAACGAAATCTGAAAAATGCTCGACTGCAACACGCACCAGGAAGCAGCGCCCACAAACAGAATCATTGTAGTCAAGACCGTTCTCCAACTTTTTGCGGGTGAGGGCGTGTGATGCGATGGTGATGCGACTGGTGCGCGTAATTGTGAATGATTGAAAAGTGCGCGAAATTAAAGGATGACCGAGTGCACGTGCTGGGTCGCCTGAACAACGACGACGCCGAGGACCGGTACACGTGAGAGCGTGGAGCGCAAGCATCCAAGACCATAAAGCAAACAAGGGCCAATGGCTGATCACCACGGAGTTTTGAAAGGCCAATCGGGACGAGACAAGTGTGCCCCAGAGGAAGCCAATCCTGAAGGGCAAAAGAGCTAGGAGTTCGAGGTGAACGAGGCAAGAGGAAGGTCACAGCTGGGAGCTGAAGACAGGCAGTCGGGTGGCAGACCTGAGCCTTCTGGACTTCACCCGGTCTGGACCTTCGGACAACGCCTTCCAAGGACGGCGAGCTGCCTCAACGGTCGAGACCAAGGCCTGCAGATTCCGGTGCGGGTGCAGCAACGGCAGTTCGGGTCACGGGCCTGAGCCTTGCAACCAGCCACCTCATCGGGCGAATCTGGGCCGCCACAGGCATCACCGAGCGAGTCCCGTTCCATCGTCGCCGCCAGCGAGCATCGGTACACGCCGTCGCCACCATTACAGCAGCAACGTTTTGGTGAGATCGAACTTGCTCTCTTCCCTGCACCGCCGAATCACCGCGTCAGAACTGCATCATGTAGCTGTGACTTTCCGTCGGCAGTTTCGGGACTTTAGATGTTTGTTTTCCTTCTAAATCCCGCTTTTAGCCAGCTACTCATTTCTTGTAGTTTGTGTTTGAGTTTTGCTTCAGTTCTGCAGTAAATGTTTAGGTGTTGTTTGTTAAGCAAACGGCTTCGTCTTTATTAGAAAAACTCTCCGGGGCTCAACCAGGAGAAACAAATCAGCAACAAGAACCCGCATCACAAACTGGCGTCCGCAGCGACAGGACGAAGCCGTTGGTTTGACACCTTCATTTATTGACGCGGTTGACATCATGTCGAATATGCGAGAGCTAATGGCCTTGGCGGATCGCATGGGAATTGATGGGGCGGATTTTAAAGCATGGTACGAGGAGAAGGAGGCACGAGCACGAGAGGAACGGGCTGCGGAACGAGAAGCTCGAAAGGAACAGTTGGAACGGGAGACGCAGGCCAAGAAGGAGCAGCTTGAGCTCGAGACGCGCGAAAAAGAAAAACAGCTCGAACTGGAGACACGCGCAAAGAAGGAGCAGCTGGAATTAGAGAACCAAAACCTGCAACTGCGTCTTAGACTTGCCGAAGCTGAGAATAGCCGTGTAGAGACAAGAACTGTTGACTCAGCACCAGGCTCAGCACAAGAAAGGAGTGTTTCATGCAGCGTGAATCCTCATAAGTTGATACCGGGATTTAATGAAAGCCGGGACGACTTGGACGCCTATTTAAAAAGGTTCGAGAGAGTCGCCATCGGTCAAGAATGGCCTAGGGACAAATGGGCCACAGCTTTAAGTTTATGTTTGAGCGGAGAAGCCTTAAAGGTGTTTGGAAGACTTTCGCCGGAGGATTCACTCGATTATGATAAAGCCAAGTTGGCGTTGCCCCAGCGTTTCCGTTTTACGGCCGAAGGGTATCGGGGAAAAGTTCCGACAAAGCAAGCCACAGGACGGCGAAACAGGCAAGCAGTACGCAACTAGGCTACTGAGTTTTTTCGATCGTTGGGTCGAAATGTCGAGGACCGGAAAAGAATATTCGGCTCTTCGTAACTTGATAGTTACAGAACAGTTCTTAAGAAACTGTCATCACCGTTTGGCACTTTTCCTGCGAGAAAAGAACTTCAACAAGCTAGAGGACATGGCCGAGGCCTCAGATAACTTTTTAGAAGCTCAGAGGCAAGTCAACCTGTTAGTTTTCCGAGAAAAAGTGGAATCTAAAAGCAATACGAAAAAAAGTGGTAGTTACTCGGAGAGAGGAGCAGTACGTTGTTTTGTATGTGGCAAAATGGGTCACAGGGCATCGGAGTGCCGATCAAGGTCAAAACAACCTTTCTGTGGATATTGTCAGAAGGCGGGGCATGATTCCAAAACTTGCTCAAAGAAGAACGGTTCAGCCAACAAGACGTCATGTCTTTTGTCGCCAGAGGAGCACTCAACGGAAGTGAAGCTTTCACCGGACAAAGAAGAGGACATGGCGGGCGCCGTGAATACTCACCCGAAGTTTGCCACACACAAAATGCCCGTGTTACAGGGCCGAATCTTTGGCCGAACCGTCTCAGTGTTGCGGGATACGGGTAGCAATACACTGGTGGTGCGTCGTTCTCTGGTACCCGATGAAGCCCTCATAGGTACTACCGCTACGCTATTCTTAGCCGATGGCAGTAGCATCATCGTTCCTGAGGCGGAGGTGGAAATTCATTCACCTTATTTTTCTGGTACATCTATTGTCAAATGCATGACAAACCCACTCTACGACCTTATCGTCGGAAATGTACCAGGTTCACGTGAAGTCCATGACCCCGATACCAAGTGGGAGGAAAGGATTCCGGGAAAAACCTACCCCAACTATATAGCGAGTGGAAAAGGAGCAGATAGAGAGGATGGTACCCTGAAGTCTTCAGTGGTTGGTATCAAAATCCGAGAGCAACGGTCAATCTCATCTGAAATCGATGTACCCACCTTGAAGACGACCCGAAAGGATCTTAGTGCCGCTCAAAAACAGGACAAGACCCTAGATTCTTGCAGGAGTAAAGTAGGTCAAGGGCTACAGGGAGGATCAAAGTCCTATTCGTTCGAGATAG